TTTGGGGGCTGTAGGACCCTCGGGAGTCTCTAGCACGGCTGGGGGGGACCAAGGGCCCGGGGCTGAGCTCGAACGGCCCTGGAGGAGGCTGCTCGGGGCCACGGGGGTCTGCCAGCACCCAGCTCTGCCCGGGTGGGTGTCCCCATGGGGATAGGGGTGGCCGGTGTCCCCCGTGCGTCCTCACACCTGATCACATCTCAGGGCTCAGCGTGGTCGGGGAAGATGCTGGGCAGCCCCCAGCTCTCCTAAGGTCGAGGTAGTGAGAGTGCTAACGGCACGACCGCGGGCTGAAGTTCACCTGTCCTCACCCGGGAAACCTCCCAGTCCAGCCCAAGCTTCTTCTCCTGGGATAACTGGGCAGAGTGGGCCCAGGGGGATGTTTTAGCCCTGTACGAGGGTGGCCGTCACCATCTCTCCCCGCTGGTCGTGACTCTCCCGGGACCGGAGAGCGTGCCCAGGGATGTGCTCAGCCCCTGGGCAGCAGCAGAGCTAAACCCCAAGACCCCAACACCCCCAAACTGCCTGTCGTCGTCCCCCCCGGCTGCCTGCACCCGGGTTACCCCCATCATCCGTGCACCGAGATGTGTCGGGACTCAGCGGCGGGCTGGGCTTACCCAGCATGTCCTCAGAAACCGGGGTCCGGAGGATGTCCCCGGTAAACTCGCAGGAGGTCTTCTTGGCGTCGATCCCAGATGTTCCTTCAAACACCTGCGGGGGCCGCAGGGCAAGAGGGGGGGGGGTGACAATTAGCGGGGATTAGCGGGCGCAGAAGGGCCTCGGGCAGGGCAGGGAAACCAAAGGCATTTTGATCGGTATAATATTTGACACCATTTGTATTAATTAACCTCCAGATCGCTGCTTTAATTAGAGCCATGTGGCCCCTGGGAGAAGGGCCGGCTTGGGAAGGGGGAGGCCGGGGGGCGCCCGGCCGGCGGGGATGCCGGCAGGCACGAGGGCAGGTGATGGCCGCAGCACCTGGGGGTGTGTGTGGGTGCATGCAGGTCAGCCCCTGACAAAGCTGCTTCTGCAAAAGGCTCCTTTTTTTCCTTTTTCATTCCCTTTTGTTTCCTCCCGAGGCTGACTCCCTAATAGGATTAAAAGGGCGCTGCAGAGGTCCGGGCAGCATTAGAGGAGCGAGGTTTGGTGGCTCGCCAGCCAGAACCCGGCCAGGTCGGTTATAGAACCCCAAGCGGCCCTGGGCTGGCTTTTTGGGGGGGGGGAGCT